ACTTCAAGGGGGTATTAGTATTAGGCTTATCTCCCTTTCAAGAAACTTGAGTTTGGGACTCATTCATTTGTTCAGGGTCATAGGGCTGGTTATGGAGAAAACTAGGATTTGAACTTGGCTTGTGACTCCAGACAGTATGCCTGTTATACTGGTCCATAACAAATGTTCAAGGCAGGTAGAAGTTGGTTTCTTTCCTTTTCTTTTTTTTTTTTTTTTGAGACAGGGTTTCACTGTTGGCTGTCCTGGAATTCACTCTGCAGACCAGGAGAGATTTCAGAGATAAGCCTGCCTCTGTCTCCCCACTGCTGAGATGCATGCACCAGCACCAACGGGACTTTTTTTTTTTCCTAATTTATTTATTCACCAGATGAGTTACACAGGCCTGTTAACACAGAAACCCCATCTCAAAAAAGCAAGAGAAAAGATTTATTGGCAGGGCAGTGGTAGACAGTTCACCTTTAATCTCAGTACTGGGAGGCAGAGGCAGGTGAATCTCTGAGGACAGTCTAGTCTACAAGTTCCAGGATACCTAGGGCTACACAGAGAAACCCTATTTCAAAAAAAAAAAAAAAAAGTAAAAATGTATTCTTATTTTATTTATTTATTTATTTATTTATTTTTGAGACAGTTTCTCTGTGTGTAGCCCTGGCTATCCTGAAACTTGAATCTGTAGACCAGGTTGGCTTTGAACTCACAATGATCCACCTGCCTCTGCCCAGCTTGTATTCTTATTTTATGTGTATGAGTTTTTGGCTGTATGCCTGTATGTGTGCCACATGCATTCGTGTTAACTGAGGCCAGAAAGGACATGGAATCCTCTCGACCTGGGGTTGTTAACCACCTTGTAGATGCTGAGGATTGAACCTGAATCCTCTGGAAGAACAGAAGGTAATCATAACTTCTCCAGCCCCAGAAGTAGTTTCCTTATTCTTTTGAGTGTATGGCTTTGTTCTTTTGCCACCCGTGCTTTGTACCTAAAAAGATCTTTGGTTTGCTATTTTGACAACAGACGCTGTTGTCACAAAAAGTGTCAAGTATTGATAACTAGAAATTTTTGTCTATTTGTGAATTTGAATTGAGGTCTCTGAAGATGAGAAACTGGTGAGAGAAAACAATATATCCTGTGGGGAGAACTTTTACAGGAGCTAAGAACCTGTGGAGGTACCAAAATGACAGATGCTTGAGAAAGCGAAGCCAGGAAACCCCATGAGGATCTTACAGTCATCTAACCTTTGACTTTTACCTAATGTGTGGGGCTGGAGACTGATTGCTTACCTAGCCTGAGACCTTAGGTTTGGTCCGTAAAGTGTGTGATAACAGCAGCCTAAAAAGTGTTAAATAACTCAATAAAGTTATACAGGTAGTTATTGGCAATAGAGTGAAGAAAACCAGAGCCTAGAGCTTATGAAGTGTTGAGATGGGATGACGGGAAAGAGCTCAATGTAAATGAAGCAGCTTTCCAGTCTGTGAAGGGTAGAGCTATAGAACAGAGTAGCCAGTGCCTTACAAACATCCTCTCTTGCACACAAGGACCTAAATGCGGATCAAACAGAAAGGGAAACTGAAGGTCAAAATAAAACAAGCTTTCTCAGTCTCTTCCCTTCCTCTGGAGGTGTCACACTCAGAACTACTGAGTTACTGCTCTTTGAGATAGGAGACTGAGCTCAACAGCGAAGGTTTGGCCAAAGAAAGCCCTTATGGGAAGCAAGAGGTTTTTTGTTTTTTTTTTTTTTGTGGTTTTTTTTGTTTTGTTTTGTTTTTGTTTTTGCTGCTGAGAAAATTCTAAAGCTGAATACAAGTACAGTGGCAGCCGGTCCTATAGTCCCAGCTGCTTGGCAGTTGGAGGCAGCAAAAAGGGAGACTCCATCATCCCCGGAATGAAAACTGAATTGTATACCAGTTACACTCCTTTCCCTCCCTGCCTTCTGGTTTTGGAGACAAGGTCTCTTGTAGACCAGTCTGGTCCTGAACTTGGTAAGTAGCTGAGGATTACTTTGCCCTCCTTCCTGATACACCTTGCCTTTATCCCCTAAGTTCTGGTAGTGTAGGCATATACTACTATGCCTACCTCCTTGGTCTTTTGAGACAGGGTCTTGCAATGTAGACTATGCTAGCCTGAAACTCTAGATCTTCTGCCTTCACCTTATCAGTGCTGTGATTACAGGATATATAACCAAGCCCAGCTCACATTCCTTGTATTAACAGTATCTTCCAATTTTATTTATGCAAATGTATTACTGCCTTAATTCCTCCCAAGACTGGAAGATATAATTATAAACAGTAAAAGCTATTCTAGACAAGTGGAAAACCTTTTCCAGTCTTTCTTAGAGTAAATATCAAAATGCTTATAAGAATAAGTTGCCTTCAAAAGGGCAGGTTTTATAGTTATTTTCACTTAAAAGGTGGAGGGTGGGGTTGAAAAGAGTATGTTGTCTTTAGAACATCAATTCCTCAAAGTAAAGAACAATGTAAAGAACAATTCCTTATGGAATGGATGTAGTTTCTCTTAGCAGTCTGAGTAATAGTCACTACTGAGCTAGTCAGGTCAATACTTGGGCTAATACTTAGTCAGAGGGCCAGAGTGTAAGTTCGTGGGAGAGTACTTGCCTAGCATTCGTAAAGCCCTAGCACAGAAGGAGAAAGAAAAAAGAACTCATGAATAAGTAAATACACCTTCATTTTTAAAGGCAGGTGAGTGGAACTTGCCAGCAGTTTTAGTTACTTGGAAGGTTCAGGCAGAAGATTCACTTGAGCTCAATAGATTGGGCTAGCCTGGGCAACTTAGGAGGAAACTGTGTAAAGATAAGCTAGTGGGGCTGGAGAGATGGCTCAGCAGATAAAAGCACTGACTGCTCTTCCATAGGACCCAGTTTCAATTCCCAGCAGCCACATGGCAGCTCACAATTGTCTGTAACTCCAAGATCTGACACCCTCACATACTGACATACAAGCAGACAAAACACTATTGCACATAAAATAAAAAAGATAGCTGGTGTACTGGCTCATGCTTATAATCCTTGCACCTAGGAGGCTGACACAGGAGGCCTGCCATGAAATCCAGTGCAGGCCATGCTACAGGAACATTAAAACTTAAAATATCTTAAAATAATTTTTGAGTGCCAGGCAAGCACTCTACTGCAAAGCTAACCCGTAAAAACCCTATAGGGACTAAACAAGAATGCAGGTAATATGTAAATAGAACTTGAGGCAAAACTACGAAGGGAGTGGGTCTCAAACTGCCCTTTATGTGCGCCCTTTCACATACACCACAGACTTTCTCTTCATTTACCATCTTCAAATCTTGTTGGAAATGCTTAAAGCCTGGTAAAGCTGGAGCCTGCTCCCTCCATAAACTTCTGAACATATATTTAGGGATCCTTTGAGGCTGATTCACAATGTGGGCTCATCAGACCTCTTCAAGACCTATGTCAGGCTTGGTTTTATTTTTCTGTAACTTAAAGTGTCTGTTGGGAGCTGAGCTTCAGAAGAGCTGCCGAATAAGTCTGACACCATGCTACCTCTTAGGAAGGCTTAGAAACTGATCAGTGAAATAAACTTCTAAGATGCATTTGTAAATATCAGTTTTATTTTTTCCTCATTGATGTAGTGGACAGCTTCCTTTAACATCAAATTTTTACACAACAACCAGGAAGTAAAACCATCTCTGAAGAAGTGAAACATGCAAGATGACAACGATTTTAATTAATTTTTAAAAGAATTGGAAACAGACCATTCATGGCATAGAAATCACAACCACCAGGTTTTGCAGTGGGACACAGAGACTGGACCTAATTGACACCAACTAGACAAGTGGATATTTATAATCAAGGGATAGTGTTGAGATTTATACATGGAAAATTACTGAGTAGAATTTTGTCAAACCAGTATAGGGATTTTATCCATCTGAATTTTTAAGACATGATCTTGTTAGATAGCCGTGGCTAGTCTGGAATTCAGTATATAGCCCAGACTGGCCTTATAGCAATCCTCCTGCCTCAGCCTCTTGGGTGCTGAGATCACAGACATATGCTAACCTTAGCAGTTAAAGAAGTTTGGAATACAGAGAAACCCTGTCTCAAAATAACCACAAAAAAAAAGTTTGGAAGACAAAATATTCTACTTAGTTCTGTCCTTGGATTGTTTTAGATTTGGTAGAACACCTTTTGTTGTATCTTGTTAGATGTATTATTTAAATTATGGGGAGGAACAAAGAAGCAGAGTATTAGGAGAGTTTTAGGTGTCACTAATAAGATAGTTGACCCCACCCTAAGAAACATTTGGTTTATGATTGTATGGTGGCTAGAGATATGTGCTTATTATCCTATGACACGGTCTTAGCTACTAATTGGCACCCATAAACACAATCCAGAGTAAACAGAATGACAAAGCAGCTACCAGCAGATGAATGCCACAGAGGCAGGAAAACCCTAGATTTGCACCAGTGAGTGACACAGCTTCTTCAGGATTCTATCAGGTGCTTCCAAGACACTAAGCAATAAACTCCTTTCCTTGTAATTTCTTTCCTCTGTGAGGTCCTGAGCTCCTACAAGACAGAGTGACAGTTGCCGGGCAGTGGTGACACACACCTTTTTTTTGTTTTGTTTTGTTTTGTTTTTTCAAGACAGGGTTTCTCTGTGTAGCCCTGGCTGTCCTGGAACTCACTCTGTAGACCAGGCTAGCCTCAGAAATCTGCCTGCCTCTGCCTCCCAAGTGCTGGGATTAAAAGCGAGCACCACCACCACCCGGCAAAATGTGTAGCCCAGGCTGGCCTCGAACTCGTGATCCTCCTGCCTCTGCCTCCCTTCAGCAAATCCTACCGGTGTGCGCCACCACTACCGGCGGCACACGCCTTTAATCCCAGCACTTGGGAGGCAGAGGCAGGCGGATTTCTGAGTTCGAGAGTTCGAGGCTAGCCTGGTCTACAGAGTGAGTTCCAGGACAGCCAGGGTTACACAGAGAAACCCTGTCTCGAAAAACAAACAAACAAACAAACAAACAAAAAGACAGAGTGACAGCTAAAGAGGAAACAGATTCTGTCATGCTTCATTATGGCACACTTTCAAGAAGACAAAGTAATGCCTTTCATAAACATGAACACACTTTAGTAATGTATCTATTAAATATTAAGACATGGACAGCCAGTGCTACAGAGAGAAACTCTTTCTTAAATACAAAAAAAAAATACTGTGAGGCTAGCTGTATAGCTTGATAATAGGGTGCTTGCCTAGCATGTGCAAGGTGGGTTTAAACTCCAGCACCATACATACACACACCCAGAAAAAGCTCACCAGCACTTGGGTTCCTTCTTGGCACAAGGACAGAGTTAGTAAATATTCTTAACTATTTAAATGCTTGACTGACTCCAGAAGCTAAAAACAGAGTTTCATATATCCCGGGCATTCCAGAAGTTTAAAAAAAAAGAATACATTAACGACAAATAAGTTGTGCTATGTCAATGATCTGAGTACAAGCAATAGCAAGGACTAGAAATTACCAGGAGGGAACAAAGCAAACCAAAAAACCGAAAGGGGAATTAAACCCAGGGTTTTGCCACAGAACTGTGTCTCTAGCCCTTTAGTTTTGAGACAAGATCTGGCTGGCCTTGAATTTGTGATTGTCCTAGTTTACACTTCTAAGTGATGGAACTATAGTACAGGCATGTGCCATCATTTCTGCCTAGAAAGAAGATACTATTATGGGGAAAAGAATCTGAATGTGCTTTAATCTCAGCACTTGGGAGGCAGAGGCAGGTGGATTTCTGAGTTCGAGGCCAGCCTGGTCTACAGAATGAGTTCCAGGACAGCCAGCCAGGACTACACAGAGAAACCCTGTCTTGAAAAAAAAAAAAAAGAATCTGAATGTGTCTGAAATATTAAAGGAGTATAAAAAATTAATTTAAATAACAAAGTTTAAGTCTTCTCTTGTTATTTAGTTGGTTAGTTTTGCAACACTGGGGAATCAAACCCAGGGCCTTCCTTATATATGCTAGGCAAGCAGTCTACCACTGAACTATAGCCTTAGTCCTAAAATGATTAGTTTCAAATCTTTAATGTAAATATACTTGGGCTCAATTTATAATTATCTTGTTTCACACACACAAATATATATATATATATATATATATATCTCCATCCCACTAGGAAAAACAAGGGCATCTGAGGAAACAGCAAAAGATTCCTTTCTGCCTATCCTTACTGTCTCATCCTTCACTGGCCCTCTCCTCTGTATCTGAAAACATCTAACAACATCTCATTAAATCTATGCCACAAATATAGTTGATTCCACCCACAGTCGATGAATGCTCTCTCGTCCATTTCTCAAGGCAAATAATATGGATTATAAGACACACAAATACACCAGGGGACAGACAACAAACTATGCAGATGGTCTAAGTAGCAAAGAGCTTGTGCAGAACAGGAAACAAGGAAATCCACCTGGGTCAGAGGTAAAGGGTGAATGTCTCTTGCTGAGGCTCAGATTTCCCTTGGTGGGTCTTTCCTTGTCCACTTGAGTTCAAGTCGAGAAGCATCTTTTTTCTTCATTAACCAAACATGCCCAGGTACAGCTGTTTCTCTTTCCTATGGTAGCTGCTGAGTTCTGACTGTGTCAACTGGAGGTACCGCCGGACATTGGCATCTTCAAAGACAATGGAGAAGATTTATGCACAGACCATAATGAACCAAATGGACCAGAGAGGATTAACACTCCTAGTTATTTCAGTTCTCCAAACTCTGAATGTATCACAATTATTCCATACAATAGTAAATTCTATTTTTAATGCCACTATGAGTTGTCATTATTATTATTAAGAGACTCTTGTAGCCCTGGCTGGCTTTGAATTTGATCTATACTTGAAAATGGCCTTGAACACCTGATTCTTTTGCTTCTACCATTAAACCCAGCTTAAAATGAAACAAACAAGGGGCTGGAGAGATGGAGAGATGGCTCAGCAGTTAAGATCACTGATTGCTCTGCCAGAGGTCCTGAGTTCAATTCCCAGCAACGACATGATGGATCATAACAATTTGTAATGGGATACCATGCCCTCTTCTAGCTTGTCAAAAGAGAGCAACAGTATACTTGCATACATAAAATAAGTAAATCTTTTTAAAAAGCAATCAAACAAAACCTGTATAGGGTTAGGGTTGGTTTGTTTGTACCTGGCCTTAAATTCATGGTCTCCTAACTTCTACCTCCCAAGTGCTGGGATTACAGGCATGCACTAGCATGCTTGGTTTTATTCAGTAATAGGATCTGGGAAAGCACTCTACAAACTGGGCTATATCCTTAGCCCTTTCTTTCTTTCTTTCTTTCTCTCTCTCTCTCTCTCTCTCTCTCTCTCTCTCTCTCTCTCTCTTTCTTCTTTCTTTCTTTTTTTTTTAAAGATTTAGTCAGCTAGACAGGTGGTGGTGGCGGTGCATGCTTTTAATCCCAGCACTTGGAAGGCAGAAGGCAGGAAGCTCTCTGTAAGTTTGAAGTCAGCCTGGTCTACAGAGGGAGTTCCAGAGCAGCCAGGGAAACCAAGTCTGGAGATCTGGGGACAGACAAAAATGTAATCAGCTGTGTTGCCCAGATTGGTCTTGAACTTATGGGCTCTCAGCATAGTTGGGACTATACATGTGTGCCACTGTGCTCAGTTAGTAGCATTTCATCTGTATGCCTGAAGTCAAGAAATAAAAACAAATGGCTTTTATTCCTTCATTAGTTCGTAGTGGCTTTAACACTCATTTAAATTAGCAAAGTTTCATTACACTGTTATGTATGGGGTTTCTCTGCTTCTAGCCTCCAGTAATCACTTTAAGAATGAAAAAAGGAAAGCTGGCCGGGTGGTGGTGGCGGCGGCGGCGGCGGCGGCGCACGCCTTTAATCCCAGCACTTGGGAGGCAGAGGCAGGCGAACTTCTGAGTTCGGGAGTTCGAGGCTAGCCTGGTCTACAGAGTGAGTTCCAGGACAGCCAGGGCTACTCAGAGAAACCCTGTCTAAAAAAAACAAAAAAAAAGAAAGAAAGAAAGAAAGAAAGAAAGAAAGAAAGAAAGAAAGAAAGAAAGAAAAAAAAAGGAAAGCTGGACTTGGTGGCTTTTAAGCTCAGCATGCAGGAGGCAGAGGCAGTTGGATCTGAGTTCAAGGCAAGCCTGGTCTACATGGTGAGTTTTAAAACAGCCAGGACCATGTAGAGAGACCCTGTCAAAAAAAATAAAATGGGGGTGAGGAAGAACAACAGGATATTCAGTGTTAAACCAACAACACAGAAATGAACCTGCCATCTGCTTCAGTGTCCTTTCTGTACTGAAAACTGAGTGCCAAATCTGAAATTCTTCCAGTCAGTAGCTTGTTTTTCTAGGTCACACCTGGAGTTAGCTGAGCTAAATGATAAAATACAATCTAAAGCAAAGGCTAGCTCCTGTCTGGAGAGCAGGCTGAACAATGACGATCAAGTTCATTTACAGGGATCCATTAACACACTCTATAAAAGGTAGGGGCTTTAAAACAAAACTCCTAAGCTGGTATAGTGGTACACATCTGTAACACTAGCACTTGGGAAGTAGAGGGGAAGAGGATCAGAAGTTCAAGGCCAGCCTGAGTTTGAGGTGAGCCTGAGTTACAGGAGATTCTGTCTCCAAACACACACACACAAACACAAAGAGCAAAAAGAGAAGAAAAAGTTCCTAAAATCCCCATTATGGTAACACCCACTGATAATGACAGTATTCAGATAGCCAAGTTCAATCCAGCATGAGCAATAGATAGGGCTCTAGGCTAGCCTGAGCTATATAGTGAAATTCTGTACCACAAAACTCCAAAATAAATAGTTAATTTAACTTAAAAGGACATGGGTGTAGTACCTAGTAGGTGTAATGTCCTGAGTATAGCTCCCAGCAGCAAAACAGAAAAGGGGGTAGGGTGGTAGTGGATATTTTCCATATACAGAATAAACTGGCTGGGATGTGTCACAGGCGTAGAGGAGGCTGACACTAGGGATGCAGTTGCAGGCTAGCCTGGGCAACGAAGGGAGAACCCTGTCTCAAAAGAACAAAACCATGGACTAGCAAAATGGTGGAAGGAGAGAAGCAGTTCCTACAAGCTATCCTGTGTGGCCTGTGACCACCCCAACCCCCACCAACACAAAATAAGCAAAAAAACAAACAAAAAAACACCTCAAAAATCTCACAGAAGTGGAAAACTTGTTTATGTGCACACTTTTATATACTTTATTTTCTTAAATATATGTACCAACACCGCCCAGGAAATGTTATGAAATTTTAAAATATTTTATTAATTCTTTGAGAATTTCTCTTTTTTTTTGTTTTTTTTTTGTTTTTTTTTTTTTTTTTTTTTTTTTTTTTTTTTTTTCTTTTTTTTTTTTTATTGGATGATTTATTTACATTTCCTATGTTGTCCCCTTACCCCATCCCCCTGTTTGTTTGTTTTGAGACAGGGTTTCTCTATGTAGCCCTGGCTGTCCTGGAACTCACTCTGTAGACCAGGCTGGCCTCGAACTCAGAAATCCGCCTGCCTCTGCCTCCCAAGTGCTGGGATTAAAGGCATGCGCCACCACCGCCCCGGCAATTCTTTGAGAATTTCACACAACGCATTTTAATCATATTCACTCTTTTCCAACTCCTCCCATGTCTACCCTGCTGTCTCTACCCTCCCTGACTCCCTCCCTACATAAGTTGGAGTTTTCTTCTTCTTCAACCCGATTTAGTCAAGTTTGTGTTGACCAACTTCTCTTGGGAATGGGGCCTGTCCTCGAGTGTGGCTGCCCTACAAGTGGGTCACCTCATTACATTACTAACTCTGCCTCTTCTAACAGCTATTAAATGCCAACAGCTCCTCAGCTAAGAATTTCATGACCACCTTCCCTGCTCCTTCCTGGGACTTAGTATCTATTTTAAAAACAGTTAAAAATTAGGGCTGGAGAGGTAGATCAGCTATAAAGAACACTTGCTGCTCTTACAGAGGACCCAGGCTCAGTTCTGGCACCCACATGGTGTCTCATTACAGGCTGCAACTCTAGTTCCAAAAGACTGAATGATTGCCTTTTTGGCCCAAAGGCACCAGGCACACATGTGGTGCATAGCGATAGTGCTGGAACACAGTCCAAGAATGAAGTTGATGTGTGAGGGGAATTCTTTTTTTTTTTTTTTTTTTAAAGATTTAACTATTTATTTTTGTATTTATATGAGTACACTGCAGCTGTCTTCAGACACACACTGGAAGAGTGTATGGGATCTCATTACAGATGGTTGTGAGCCACCATGTGTTTGCTGGGAATTGAACTTAGGACCTCTGGCAGAGCAGGCAGTGCTCTTAACCACTGAGCCACCTCTCCAGCCCGTGTGAGGGGAATTCTGAGTGCTGTGAGAAAACACCAAGAAAATAAGAAAAGAGTCTTGTGATCTCAATTTCTTCAAAAACAAGGAATTGCTCTTGGAATGTGCTTTCGTGCCCCTCCAAGGTATACTGGATAGGAGTGAGTTTACTTTAAACCACTCATTACAGCAGGCTATTACTATTTGTTTATATGCCTCAATGGAAAAATACATGTTTTGTTTTTGTGTGTGGGGGGTTTTTGTTTTGTTTTGTTTTTTTGAGGTTTTTTTTTTGCCATGTGTGGTTTGTCCTTGTAATTGAATACCTTATCAGAATATAAATTGTCTAATGCTGTCAGTAAAGTTGGTATTCTGAATAAGACTTCAGTGACCTCATTTTTAGGCCCCACTCTCCCAGGTCCACACCAACAACAAAGTGGTAAACAAACAATACATATGCAGTGAAACACTGGTATACCTAAAAATAAATAGGTTAAAAAAAAAAAAAAGGCTGGAAAGATGGCTCAGTGGTTAAGAGCACTGTCTGTTCTTCCAGAGGTCCTGAGTTCAATTCCCAGCAACCACATGGTGGCTCACAACCATCTATAATATGATATTATGCCCTCTTCAGATGTGTCTAAAGATAGCTACACTGTACTTATATACATAAAATAAATAATTCTAAAAAAGAAAAACCAATAAATGAAAAAAGTTAAAATAATCTAAAGCTTCCTTTCCACGGATACTACCTCAATGGAATAGTTTGGTTTTTTTGTCTTTTTTTTTGGGGGGGGGGTGTTTTGTTTTGTTTAGACAGGGTTTCTCTGTGTAGGCTGTCCTGAAACTTCCTCTATAGACCAAGCTGGCCTAAATCTCAAGAGATCCTCCTGCCTCTGTGTCCTAAGTGCTGGAATTAAAGACATACGCCACCCAGAATGAGAAAGTTTTGTTTTGAGACAGGGTCTTATATAGTCCAGAGCATCTTCAGACTCCCTGTGTAACTTGGACGCCGATCCTCTTGTCTCTACCTCTCAAGTGCTGGGATCACAAGCATGCACACAATGCTGAGGATTGAAATCAGAGCTTTGTGCATGCCTACCAACTAAGCTACACACACACACACACACACACACACACCTACCTATCCATCCCTACCCCTTCTTTTTCTTTAAGAAGTATTTTTCTGTTGATTTTAATAGCTGTACATAGTAATGGGTACAATGCATACAGTTCGATACATGAGTGTATGCAGTGTGTAATGTCAGACCACAGCAAGCAGCACTGTCATCTTCATCAGTGATCACTTCTTTGTACTGACAATTTTCTATATGCTCATCTCTTTAATGTCCCTTTCACTCACTTACTTACCTTTAGGTTGCCTACTGACAGCAGCCAGCAGGTAGTGTCGAGCCTGGTCATAGTCTTGCAGGTGGAAGAAGGCTACTCCAGCCCGATACAAGGCCTTGGCATTATCAGGCTGTCGTTCTAGGACTTTCTGGCTGTATTCTCTCACTCGTTCGTAGTTCACTGGCTCCATCTGGAGGAGACAGGCTAATGGGCCAAGTTAAAGGGAGAAAGGAGGGCTTATTATTTAGGAGATTCCACTGCCCATCTCAAGGCATTCCCCAATATTCATTTATTCAACTAATGCTTAGGTGTCTACCATATCTATACCCTCATCCAGGAACTAGAGATGTAAAAGTTTTGACTGACAAGCTGGCTTAGTGGGTACAGCCTCTTGCTACCAAAGTTGATAACTTGCATTGAGACGTGACTCACACAAGCTTTCTTTTGACATTCACAAAACATGTATCCTGCATGCTTGAGTATGTGTGCATATGCGATAAATACATAAAGTTTACTTATTTCATTTTTTTTGTGTGTGTGTATAAATGTGGGTCATATGCATGCAGGAGCCCATAGTGTTCATGACAGGCATCAGGTCCTGGAACTGGAGTCAGAGATGACTGTGAGTCGCTATGTGCGTAAGTGCTGAACCAAACCCAAGTGCCCTACAACAGCAATAAGTACTTTTTAACTGGTAGGCTATCTCTGCAGTCCCCATACTTTATTTTTTTAATTTAAAACTCTCTCTAACATGGCACAGTGCTGCATACCTGTAATCCCAACTCTTGGGAGGTAGAAGAGGCAGGAGGATTAAGAATCCAAGGTCATTCTCAGTCTGGTGGGTGGAATAAGAACGGCCCTCATAGGTTCATATGTTTGAATGCTTAGTTATCAGAGAGTAACTCTACTTGAGCTAGGTTAGGAGGTGTGGTGCCTTGTTGGGGGAAGTGAGTCACTGGGGGCGGACTTTAAGCAACAGTGTTGAAGACAATGTTCTGCCTTAAAGAAGGGTTGTGGCTCAGTAGACTGATTGACCACCTGTCATATTTAATCTCTGAGATTCAATCCCCACCACCACCACCAAAAATAAAAGTAAAGGGGATGGGATGATGACTCAGTGGTGCAGAGCACACATTGCTCTTGCAGTGGGGCCAAGTTTGCTTTCAAGCACCAACATGGGACAACTCACAGCCACCTGTAACTGCAGCTCCAGGGAACATGATGCCCTCTTCTGGACATCACAGGCATCTGCCTTGAAAGTGCACATAACCACAGACACATACAAAAAGACACATAATTAAAAGTAAAATAATTATTTTTTGAAAGTTAAAAAAAAAGGGAAAGACATTCTATTTTATAGCTATGGGAATTAAATATAATTAAAATTATAAAACATAACGAAATGATGTGCAGGTGGCAGAGATTCAGGTATAATGAAGCCATTAATAAGCCTGGACTAGGCTTGATCCCTGCTAAAACATCCCTACCAAGCATCCTTTATATGGACGATTCTCCACAGGACAATTAATCTAGCACTTTAGCTTCAGTATTTCAACTGATAACTACTTACCAAACACTGAGTATGATCAGACACTAAACTAGGAACAAAGAGTAAAGAGAACAAGGCAGGTGTCTTGATGATTATATATATAAATACACACACACACACAGAATACACATGTACACATGTATAGTCACTCTTATATGTTTGAGTGTTTTGACTATTTATGTATATGAACCATGTGTGTGCCTAGTGACTGAGGAGGTAAGAAGGGGGGCATTATATCCCTTGAGATTGGAGTTACAGATGGTTGTAAATCACCATGTGGGTGCTGGGAATTGAACTTTGATCCTCTGCTAGACCAGTAAATGTTCCTAACTACCGGGCCATCTCTCTAGCCTTGTTTATTCTAAATAATAAAGTCCCCCGAGGCTTGATGGGACATTTCTTCATGCGCTGAAACAGATTTCACGAGAAATATCTTTCAGTAATGCTAGCCATTAGGGGTAGAGGGTGTGGGCTGAGGTAGGAAAGCCAGCAACAACCCATGAACCAATGGAAATTCCTTTCATAGACATTAGAAGGAAGAGGTCTTTGAGCTTAGAGAGGAGGGATCTGATTTCATAGCTTAGTGAGGACACTAGATAGAATGCACTCAATCCTACTGTCCAACTCTACCTTTGAGGCAGGATTTTACCAGCGTAGGGAATGTATCTACGATACAAGGCTTCACTGATCTCTACTGAGGAGCAAGGGAGTTCAAGCAACGAGTAAGTACTGTCAGGGCACCAAAAGTGGTACGTGTACACACACAAATGAAATTCCATATAGACTTTGAAGAGAATAAAACTGCTAGAGAATAAGTAAAATTAAACTGTTGTTTGATTACTGAAGGCTTCTGTAACAAAGTTCATCTTCAGCCAGGCAGTGGTGGCGCACGCCTTTAATCCCAGCACTTGGGAGGCAGAGGCAGTTGGATTTCTGAGTTCGAGGCTAGCCTGGTCTACAGAGTGAGTTCCAGGACAGCCAGGGCTGCACAGAGAAACCCTGTATCGAAAAACCAAAAACAAAAAAAAAAACAAAAACAAACAAAATTCATCTTTGGCAAATTCCTTAGTACATTTTCTTTTTTTGTTGTTTTTCGAGACAGGGTTTCTCTGTGTAGCCCTGGCTATCCTGGAACTCACTCTGTAGACCAGGCTGGCCTCGAACTCAGAAATCCGCCTGCCTCTGCCTCCCAAGTGCTGGGATTAAAGGCGTGCGCCACCACTGCCCGGCAGTACATTTTCTAAAGGGCATAGAATTTTGCAATAAGCATTTAAGCTCTAAGAATTAAGACCTTTTGGGTATAATTTTAAATCTACTCGTTACTAGATACTTGATGATTTCCTTAGATGAATCTGAAAGAACTGTTGTGACATTTACATAGATCAATGTGTAGTGACCTAAACACCTGACATTCTGTCATAAACGTCACATCTATGAATCCTATGTAACCATCCTTTCTTAGATGCAATATCCCCAAGACTATTGACTATTTCCATTTTTCAATTTATTCTTACTTGTTTGAGATAGGATATTTCCACACATCACAGGCTAGTCTGGATGTCAAACTTGAAGCCATTTTTCTACTTGGACTTCCCCAATGCTGGAATACAGGTGTTAGCAATATGCTTCCAGATAAATCCATTGGTAGTCCCACCCTAGGTCCACTAAATCAAGGTATCTGAGGTTTAGAGCCCAGGAAGTAGAAAGTTTCACAAACTCTCCATGTGAGGCTTGAGAAATCTTAAAAGAGTAACTCTACAGAGTGGAAACAGGTTTCAATTCACTGCTAAATAACCAGGTGGCAGCGTCTTCCAATGTTCACAGGGCTTGATGAGTCTATCTTTTTTGTTTGTTTTGCTTTTTGAGACGGGGTTTCTCTGTGTAGCCCTGATTGTCCTGGAACTCGCTCTGTATTGGAACTGCCTCTACCTCCTGAGTACTGAGATTAAAGACATGCTCCACCACTGCCTGGCCCTGTGGCCCTGTCTTGATGCTCTGCCCACCGTCTAGTCCACACCTACCAGCTAGGTTGTTGTAGCAGTCGGTCTGGATGGTGTGTAGTATGTTTTCTTGTTCCGGTGTGAGAGCTGGGCCCTGAGGTCCCAGATTGGGTATAGGAGAAGGCAGACTTGGGTCCAGACCCCGCAACTGAAGAAGAGCTCGATGGTACCTACTCACAGCATCTCGGTACTTCCCTTCCCGGTAGCGCTGGTTTCCTTCTTCCTTGTATAGCTGAGCCTCCTGAAGGCGCTTCTCCATGACTGTTGGAACCGTTAAACGAAAGAGAAACTGAGGCAGTAGTATTGGGATCCAAATAATTGATTAGAGCATCGATTTTGTAAGCAGAAAATTACCCTCCTTCAAGAGGCTCGCAGGGATTTGAGCTTTGCTGTTTTTACTAGTCCCATCTACTACCGTGGTTATTTGCAGTTTCCAGAAGTTCCGCAAACTAAAAAAAGGAATGATGTGAGGGTAGTGAAGACATAAACCAAATGAGTTCCATTAGAAGAAGATCCTGGTGTGACTATAGACTCTAGGAAGATTCAAAGGCCCGACTAAACGTTCGAAGTGTGTGACCGCCTGCAAAATTCATTTCCTTCTTTCTCTGAGGCACACCCCCTGACCTGGAAGAAGATGGTGTAGGCGGGAACAACTGAAACAAGTCGAAAAGGCTTCGCTCCTTTCCAACCTCTTTATTTGTTCTTATCCAACAAACATTTGATGATTCTGCTGTTAATTGAGGGCCCGAAGTGAGTGAGGCCCGAGTCTCCAGTCCACAGGTGAGGCACAAGAGGCCGTAAGCACTGCGCCCAACAACCGCACCACAGCAGAGGCACAAGGCCGGAAGACTCCTCCAGGGATTCACGTTAAGTGCAGGAGCACGGAGAGGAAGAGACCGGACCAGCCAGCAGTTTAGCATCTAATGGGGCGCGCGCATTGCGTCATACCACCCAATCAGAAACGAGTCTAGAAAAGTAATCCCGCAGAACCGTCACCGCCTCCCCAGCGGACCAACCCGGAAAAAAAAAATTCCCGGCCACTTCTCCAATAGGAAAAAAAGCCGCACGATATCGAATGACCAATCAGATCAACAGACTACAATTCAAGATAGCCAATGAGAGAAGGAGGGGGTGGGGTTGGCGCCTCTGTTGCTGGGTAGATGTTTAAGCACAGAAAGAGGTCCCGGCGTTGCTCTCCCCCCGTGGTGCTGAAAAGGCTTTTCCCTACTAGCTACGAAAACCCTGCACCACCCATCTTTCCAACTTGTCTTCGGTTTCTAGTCTCAGAAGTTTCAGCCAATGAATAAGCAGGAGAGGAGGACATCGAGTAAGAGCTAGGGTGCTCCGGTAATTGGGAGCGGGCAGGAAGTAAGAGACGTGAGGTGGGCGGGACTCGGGCGCGACTGCGCAGAGCCTACAACTGAAGTACGGAAAGAGGAGCGCGCTCACGCTTCCGTGCTACGAGGCACTTGAGCCTCAGCCAGTCTTGCCCGACTCAGGCCTCCCTGCGGCTGCGCGGTAATGCCGTCTGTGCTGATTGGCCCGGATCTCTGAGAGGAGGGAGAAGTGAGGGAACTCCGTCGTCCTCAGCGCGCACTCCCCTACGGTCGAGTACCGAGTGTCTCGGAAGCTGCTCTTCACTGTCTTGTTTTGAGCTCAGTGAGCCGAAAGGGGCAGGGCAGAAGGAAGGCGACACAAACAAGCCGCGAAGACAGCGCGGCCTCTGACTCTGTGCGTGCGCTTGCTAGCGCGGGCTCAGGGCTGGCGCGGGAGGCGGAGGCGGGCGGCGGCGGCGGCGCCTGCGCGGTCGGGCTCGGTCGACAGTTCGCAGGGGAGGAGGCGGCGGGAGGCGGAGGAGGCGGCGGCAGCGATGGAGGTGAAGCGGCTGAAAGTGACCGAGCTGCGGTCGGAGCTTCAGCGGCGGGGCCTGGATTCACGCGGCCTCAAAATGGATCTGGCGCAGCGGCTTCAGGAGGCACTAGATGCTGAGATGCTGGAGGACGAGGCCGGCGTTGGTGGGGCCGGGCCCGGCGGGGCCTGCAAGGCGGAGCCTCGGCCTGTGGCCGTGTCGGGCGGAGGCCCGGGCGGGGACGAGGAGGACGACGACGAGGAGGAGGAGGAGGAGGACGAGGAGGCGCTGCTTGAGGACGAAGACGAGGAGCCACCACCTGCCCAGGCTTTGGGCCAGGCCGCGCAGCCGCCTCCGGAACCCCCGGAGACGTCAGCCATGGAGGCCGAGCCCGAAGCTTCCAACACACCGGCGGAGGCCACGGCTGGGTCAGGTGGGGTAAATGGTGGCGAAGAGCATGACAACGGCAAGGGGGAGGAAGACGGGCCGGAGGAACGGAGCGGAGACGAGACTCCGGGATCCGAGGCACCAGGTGACAAGGCCATAGAGGAACAAGGTGAGGAACTGGCAGCAGAGCCCGGCTTCAACCTGCCGGGTGCGTCTCCGATCCAGCACCCCACCCTGCACCGCGCTATCTGATTCCTTGTTTCCACTTGCCCAAAAGTGCACTGTTCTAGTGACTATTTGATGGGATTCTCCCGGAAAGGTGGCTTTCATCCGCTATTCCTCTTTTTGAGGGTTTGGCGTCTTGTCTCTCACTGTTGGCAGGAGGGAGGTTCCTGCCTAATGTTGTTCCTTGGTGTTAGTGGATGGAAGTGTAGCGTGTGTGTGTGTGTGTGTGTGTGTGTGTGTGTGTATTCCTTTCGGGATACCTGTGGATCAGTCTTGTGGTGCCCACCTCTCTTTAACTGAATACCTTTAACCGAAAATATGCTGAAAAATTGGCGGTCTCCAGAGACCAGTTGGAAGCTTAGGCCTTCAACCTAACTGACAGTTCGTTCCTTACCTTAAAAATGTTAAGCAATAAACAGTCCGGTGAAATGCTGCTTTGTCAAACCCATGTTAGTCCTCAAAGAGACTCTGGATATCTAACCTTGCTCCTTCTTGCTCAAGCGGTAGGAGACAGTGTGTGTGAGCCTGTTGGGTTTAATCATTAACTAGCAAAGAGAAACTCTTAGGCTGGTAACGTTTTAGTAGCATGTTAGTTACTTGACTGGGGCTTTTTACTTTGTCCCTGTTGTGTTTATATTTTAATTCTCCTGCCCAGTCTGTAAGTAAGCATATTCATAGACTTATTCTACACTGGTGCCCTTAAGGCTCCTAACGTCCTGAGCTTAAGTGATTGAGGGATTCTAGTTGACCATTTGAGTAATGGTGTGGTAGATTTGTGGAGACTTCTCCCAGGAGTTAATGACCTTTCTCCTTTTGAAATGCTTGCGTGGTTAGAGCTGATCTAGAGTGTCTATCAGGATGGAGAGCTGTTTCTGAGTCTTACTTTCAAGTGGGTTTTTTTGCCTGTAGAGTTTTTTGTACTGTTTTGTTGTTTTTGTTTTGTTTTGGCTGTTAGTGTTAAAAAGTTGGAATCTATTTTACAATGATTGTAAGCAAACTGTAGTGTTTGGGGGTTTTGTTGTGTCTGATGTCCTGGGACCAAAATCCTATTACATAATCCTGATTTGTGTTATCCCAAATAACAGATAAAAAGCATTGAAGGATAAGGGAGTGTTTTAGAGGAATTGTGGAAAACACCTAAGCCTTCTAAACATTAAAGTCTAAGGAAAAACTCCATGGGTTACATAGTGAGTTTTAGGACAAGCAGAACTACATAGTGAGACCCTGTCTAGAAAAACAACAACAAAAAAAGAATGTTACTTAATATATAACACCACCTTCCTGCCCCAAATTCCATGCAATAAAAATGCAGTGAGTGTTATTTATGGTTTGCTTGTGACTTAAGATTTTCTCTGGTAACTTTCAAGTTCCTGTTAAAAATACACCTGCCATTGTAAGGCTGTGCATTTTAATGCAGAAAAGGTAGTCTCTTAAAGAAAATGTGAGGCTTCTGTGTCAAGTAGCTGCTGAAAAGTGCTAGAAAATAGTCATTAACTACTTGCCATAAATTCAGATCTGATGAGAATTGAAATTCACCTATGAAGGGTTTTGAAAGACTTCAGGGATGCTTAACTATCCTATCAGTGGGGACATCTGCCAGGTTGGCTTGATTGAAGTAGATAAATTTAGAATGGAAAAAAATACCCAGTTAAATTAGTCCATAGTGGTCTCCTCTCCATCCCCCCCGCCCATCTTAACCAGTGATTTTGGAATTTGGAAATAAAACATGGGTATATTAGGAACACTCCATGTCAATCAGATACCTTTAGTTTCCTGAAGTTAAACTCAGATTCTCTTAGTTCTGAGCTCATTCTATGCTCCAGTATAAAAACTACTGATTTTCTTTCCCTCCCTTTTGTAGGAGATGACCAAGATAGTGAAAAGTCAAAACCAGCAGGCTCAGATGGTGAGCGGCGGGGGGTAAAGAGACAGCGGGATGAGAAGGATGAACATGGCCGAGCTTACTATGAATTCCGAGAGGAGGCTTACCACAGCCGGTGAGGGAAACACTCCCTTGATGGGAGTGTCTGCTCTGCTTTTGGTATTCCTATTGTTGATTGCAGTGTGGAAGGAGGGGTGGATTGAAAACTGGACTAGGTTCTTATAGGTTTAAGTTTTAGAGTAAATAAATCTATGATGGAAACTCCTATCCCCTTTTCTCATTGACTGAAAGAAGCTGTCTCCTGGAATTTGATAATTCACTGATAGTTTAAAATGGACAGTGTCACACAAATACCTCAAAGGAGGTAGCTTTGGTTATATTGCGTTCTTTCCTCTCCTACCTGTAGCTCAAAGTCCCCACCACCTCCAGAAGAAGAAGCAAAAGATGAAGAAGAGGATCAGACGCTTGTGAACCTGGACACGTGTATGTATCAAGCAGTTTGCTTTGGTTTTAAGATAGGGCTTTGTTGTGTATTTCAGGCTGGCTTCCAACTTGTGATCCTCCTGTGTTAGCCTCTGAAGTGATCTAAAAATGACTTAAGAGTAAAAAACTTCATGGCTTGGGTACTTGGACAGTATTTGTATCTGTTTGCTCAGCACTTTTAAGTGTTGAGCATTCTAGTAAACCAGTTGCATCTTTCT